GTATACTACTGGTTATGTTTTAACAACTAAAGATTTTATTTTAAAAACATGTTTTGAAGTCTTACTATGGCTTATTAAATCACCATGATGTGCTCTCAACACTGTATTACAAACAAAACAGTACGCTTTTTTAAAATCATTGTTCGCTGATTGTTCATCTGTCGCCTTCTTGAGCCATCCTCAATTAAATTCATTAAAATAATTAAATTAATTAATATTAAAGTTATTAGTTATTAAAATCTATACTACACTTTACTTAAGTTATAGGTACCTTTAAGTTCTGTTTTATTTTTCCACTCTTTGACAAACTTTCTGCTGTACTTTGCCCACTTAGGCATGATTTAAAATATGATCAGACAAAATTTAATTTGTAAAATGTTTATGTTTGATATCACTTGTCAGTTGTCAGTTCAAATTTATTATCAAGGTAGAGTCCGTGATAGCTGATGATGTTTTAGACTGATAATATTATCTACAAACCTTGGTTTTAGACACAGTTACAGATTGATAATGGTAACACAGAATAATACTGTGAGATAACCGTGGTTTAAATACAATATTTTTGACTTTTGTTTATTAAAAAAAAAAAAAAATGAACGAAAGTCAAAAATATTCATTGTACAATTTTTTAAATCTAAAAACCCAAACACGACAATTTGGAATTGTCAAATCGTCCAATTGGTGGTAACCCGCCAATCTATTAATTTTGGCGGAATTTGGTCACAAAAGATAGCCCAACTGGTGATAAACTGCTCGGTAAGGGTTACTAAAATAATTTGTGGACAAATAAAATGTTATTCTTAATCTATTGATGCACGGTGAACATTGGATTTATTCGATAGTTAACGTTAGTTCGCGTTAACGAAAGACATGTTTGTACTTAACAATAACAGATAGCGCTACCGATTGTTCTAGAACAAAACTATAGATGTTGATGCCTGAGCAAAATGTCATACGCTATCTTTTTTTTAGTATCTAATTTATTTGAATCAAACAACTTTATTTTCTTTATTCATCTGATTTTATGTAAACGTATTATATAATTATTACCTCTCTCTCGATTAATGTTAAATTGTTAAAAGTATCGCAAAACTGTTCAAGATATTCAAGATATTAAATACACAGAAATGTTACTGTTGAATTTTTAAAATTTAAGAACAAATATCTTCTTTATTAATACTATACAAACTATGTATTATGCAATGTTTTCATAAAATATTAATTTATTTTTGTAATATATCTTGAGATTATTAGATTGAAGAATTATATTTTTATCCGTTATTCAAATATTCATGATATTCATTCACATTTCATATTCGTTCGGATTAAAATATTATATGATAATAATGAAGAAATTATTTTAAGTGGAGATTTATTTTTAATACTAAAATTTTTAAAAATTGTTTAGGCTGAACAAAATATTCTATAAACTTTTTTTATTTTTATTTTTAAATTTCCTGAATACAGTTGAATGTCAGAATGTACAGTTGAGTTTTTTGAAATCGGTTAATATTTTACATAGGATTTAGAAATGTATAATTTAAACAGTTCTAACATATTCGAATTTCGAATTTCAAATTAATAATTATACAAAAATATTCAAACAATTTATTTTGGCCATTTTATCAATAAGAAAACCAATTCTGTTTAATAAAAAAAAAACGAAATCGATAATTTGCTGCTAATCTATATGCAGGATATTATATTGTGGAAATATCAAAAATACTATGATTGCACTGTTAAGTGTATAAATATAAATTGTTGATGTAAATTATATATTTTTTAAGTGTTGTATACATTAATTAGAATTTGAAATATTTCTGTCAGAATACATTGAGCAACTTTGAACGCAGCCAAAATGTACAGGGTTAAGAAAAGATTAACCTGTGCAAGTAATTCTCATCTCTATTGACACGCCCCGACTTGTTCATATTTTCTCGATGTTCATAAACGTGTCAAGTTAACCGATTACATCGTTCATTATAAAAGTCAATATAATCGGTTGACAGCAACGTTATAATAGTGTAAAAACTATTTGTTAGTAAAATGCTTCGAAAGATAATATTATGATTATTATAATTTTTTGATCGCATAGTCCGCGAATGTTTATCGTGTAAGAAAATAAACGGTTTTTTTTTTTTTTTACATGGCATACAAATACGATCATCAACTACAATCAGCTCGGTCTGTTGTACACCGGACAATTGTGTCATTCTACTCTTCCAGTGGCGTCGATTCTTACGTTGAGATCAGACCTTGGCCTGACATCTTTAGAACATTTAGGATGGGGTCGCTTCATATCGGGTCAAAGTCTGGCCGCCTATTTTTATGAATGCTTCATTGTAAAATTAAAGCTTACTCTTTTAATGTCTCTAATTACAATTTTTGTTCGGCTATTGTGTTAACTAAATTATTGACAAGGACAAATGATTGATGTTAATAATTACATACTATTCTAGAGTTTTATCAAAGATTTAGACCTCAATTTATCGACAAAAGTGCCAGTTAAATTACATGATAACTATGAAGAATATAAGGTCGGTTCAAGTGAAAGTAATATAGAAAGAAGATGAAGAATAAGTAAGATTTATATTATTTTGGAAGCTTAAGAAATATTTTTAGAATGATTAATACTATGAATATTAAATCAAAATTTGAGTATTTGTATACAATAATTAAAATAAGTTCAACTCTGCTTATATCTAGTTGTACAGTTGAATAAAGTTTTTCCAAATTAAAAATCATAAAATCAAGATTAAAAAGATTAGAAAATTGAACAATTATTTTTTGCGAACAAGTCATAAACATAAATGTGTTAAAGGTAAATATAAAACGAAAACTGTAATTTTCATCATTCAATTATAAAGTATAATTATTTATAATTATCAAAGAATTATAATATATACTAATTTGTGTGTTTTAGGTAAGATATATTTGCGAGAAAGTCACCAGTATTAACTAAGTTATTAACATTTTGATACTAAAATTTGTGTACCATGATTTTCAGTTACAATTTTTTTTCTGTCGTGACATTTTTATTTAAATAATTTCATTGTATGCATATAAAATGTAGGTACAAGTAATTATATAAAAATGTTAATATTCTATAATTTTCAGGAGAAATAGCTAACAGTTCATAAAAGGCGTCAGAAATTTCAGTGAAAGGTATAAAAACCCAATCCAAAAAAAAAAAAAAAATTTACCAATGTCAAATTTCTGTATCATTTTTGTCGTATTAAAAAATACAATAATACTAAACTTCAACTGAACTTTATAACACTTATAGTACAATGGGTACATTATAGTATCAAGTAATACAGTTTATTGTTGCGCTTTTATTCCACTACAGAGGAACAAAAACACAAATTTGTTTTACGCTTCTGGGTAATTGAAAAAAAAAATCAATTTGTGCTTTCAGATTTCATCGCTATTGACAGTTTTGATTATCGGGTATTACAAAAAATGGGTCATTAAAATGTTTTCTAATTTTTTCAGATTTATTTAAATTTTCTTTTAAAATTAAACATCAATATTTTTAGGATAAAAATCATCCCTGTACGTACGTTGGGCCGAAATTTAGGTATTGCGACATTTTCAAATATTTTTGACCCGATTACATTTTTAGGATTTCGGCGTCACTCTACTCTACGATCACAAAACAACAAGCGTGCATCTGAGTGACGCGAAAACTTATTCGACTCATTCATTACAGACGACCCTAGCCACGCGGTTCGGATGGTATCATTGTTGTATATCTGACCATAATTTGGTCTGTATATAAGTAGATTGTGTTACTGTCCTACGGTCAAGCGCGTCAGTTGTATTTTTCGATGTTTCACGTCGAGTAGACGCGCGAACCAAGACCACTACACTGTCGACTAACTCCACCGCGGGTTGTGATAACAATCGTATCTACAATATATATTTATGACGATGCCCCCAGTCCGACCGTAAACATTGAGAACTTGATCGATAATACTACATGTTGACGGGTTGAAACGGATAGCGTTTGAAATAGCAATCGCAATGCGTCTTTGTGTATATTAACTCGTATATACACTCGTTGCAGTCTTTTGAGCTCGGACGATAACGATATTTTACATTTTCCATCAGTGCAGTGGGTCGTATGATGAACTATCGTTTCACCCGTCAAAAATAACGCATTGTCTCGCGTTGTTAAGTTGTTCCCGTTTTATTTGATAATGGGGTAGGTTTCGTCAAGACAATCGCTGGACATTTGACAGTGCGTTCTGTTACGAAAATGTGATTGTCTTACTTTTATTTTTTCTATTCTCGAGCGAAATCATCGCGTTTATTCCGAGTTATTGATCTGTTTTATTTCATTAGAGCAGAAAACGGATCGTTTGTTTAACCATGGCGCGTTATGTGATTATTATATAAAGACACCGGTACTAAACCGACAACGAATGTCCGTACTGCAAGAAACACGATTTACAACATTGTTATATTATGTTGTTAGCTTAACGATTTGGTTTCACAATAACTGAAAGGGTTGCGTCGACAGCGTTCTGTACTCAAAACAATAGGCGAGAACAAGAGATGTACGCTGAAGCAGCCGCCGCCAAAGCCATCGCGCCACAGGTGTGGCCCTTGTCGAGGAATGCCGTTTAATCGATAATTGAGATCGATCGCTTCTGGTACAAAAGGTGCCGCTCTGCACTCGAGTGCACTGGAAACGTACTGTCGGGGATGAAAAAAATAATAATAATAATAATAAAAAACACAAAACGATCCAATGCACACTACATTATGTGTGTACCTACTCTATTTCAACGTTTCGTGTACATTCTATTGTTGAAAATAACTAGAGGGCTCTCGACATTATAACTTCAGTCGAGGGGTTTTCGAGTGCTTGCGCACGACCTGAACGTTTTTAATCGTCTTATTATTATTATTAGTAATATTTTTTTCGGAAAAAAAAGTAAAAAAATACTAAATAAAAATTGAGCGATATGCAAGCGCGTAGTACCGTTTCCGTCGAATCGTGAGCTGGACACGGGACATCATGTCCGACGTAATGTGTTACGTTGCCAAAATGTTGGGCTTTTTCTCTTTTGCCAGAAGCACCCGCAGAGCTTCGTCAATGTTGTGCTCGTTAATCTTGTGGATTTGCTTCGTTTCATCCGGAGTTTACATGATCGTCTATTACTATGGAAAGAACCAAAACGTTTCGTCCAAGAACAGCATGTACATGAAGGTTGGGTTTTCGTTGAAATTTATCGATGTATTCTAAGGAAAACGTATTAACTTTATATTAACATTATTTAATTATACTTTTTTCTACTCGATTCGTATGCATTTTTTATGCAAAAAAAAAAGCCATTACTTATAATACAGGTATATATCTATACTTCTTTCAAGACAAATCAATTTTTTCATTCATATTGAGAAGTATATTATATATTAATTTGAAATAATTGTATAAGACGGCCTATGATTTTTATTTTATATTTTGTAAAAAATATAACCATATAACGATTTATTATCAGATATAGGTAATTAATTTTGGAATTAAATAAATATTTGTTATTTAGATAAAAAATGAAGATAATACAACAAAAATATATTTAAATAAAGATAAACGATAACTAAATTCTTATCTAAATAAAAAAAAAATAAATTTTTTTTATATTTTAAAGTCAAACCTTTTGAGAGTACACCTAAAATAATACTACTTAATACTTCACTATTATTTAAACACAATCTATATGTTTGAACTAATGTTGGTAGTAAACATTGTTATTGGTTATACACAGTAAGTATAAATTAACAAACATTTAAAAAATTAATTATAAATATTGTGTAGTAAAATATTTTAAACTCGTAACAAGTTACAGTAAATTGTGACTGTTGTGATCCTTAATTACAGTTTTAGTATGTATTTATTTATTATTATTTATCAATTTATTATTATTTATTATAATAATTTTTATTTGCTAAGATATTTATTATTTAACTACTATATACTATACATGCAATAAATAATGGGAAGTTTTTTTTCTGTTAAAATAATAATATAAGATGCAATTAAATAGGTTAGGTCTGACTAGTTATTCTTACTAAATATAAATAATAATAATAATCACTTTTCCACTAATTTACCAGCCCACCGCTCGCTAACATAACATAACAATTACATTTACTCTGTAATTGAGCATTGGGTCCCGGGCTCATAACAAAAAAGTTAATAATATCCAACATTATTATGTAATTTTTGTTTCCATGATTATTTAAGAATTTAAATTTCAAATATTAATTATCAATAAAATAAATTTACAATACAAATTTGTATTTTCTATTTTTTTTTTTTTTTTTTGTATTTCTCTAGGTAGATGATTTTTTTATACAAGATAATTATTTAGATAATATACAACTATTTAAATAATGATAACGAAATAATTAATTAGGTGATTTATCTAGATAAGTCCCAACACTGAATATATAAGTAGGTAGCTGATGTAGATCGGTCGATCAGCAGTTAATTATTTACGTTTTACAAGCATATTTAAAATCTGGAGTAGCAAATATTATATTAAATATGTCAGCGGAGCTTCATCTACTTAGTTATCTTCTCATATTTTAATTTTAATAAATTTAAGATTGGAATATATCTATTTGATGATCAATATTATTTTAGACAAAATTTTTCAGAGAACTATTCTGCAAAACTACCAAGCAGCCATGTACATTTAGGAAAGTCAGTGTACATTACGATTTTTTTTTTTTTTATCAAGTTATAGTGTTTGTAGGTATAGTTCGTAGCTCTTATATGGATTATATATAAATATATTTTTTTTTTAAACGCAATAAATCGATTAAGGATCAGAGGATGTTGTTCGTGAAAATTAAAATCACCGACGACACTCCGTAGGTAGGTCGGACATTACAAAATGTAATTTCGATTTCAGATGGTTTTCTTCGAAGTGGTTTCAAAATTCGTCGTGGCGACCGTCGGTACATCGGTTTCGGCGGCCAAGGGTCAAGCTTACTTCGATCTCCTGGGCAAGTTCTCCGCATTCGACGAGCTCACATTGGGCGAAAGATTTCCGTCTGACGGGTGCGTGCAAACGTTATACATGCTGCTGGTCGCATCGGTATTTGTACATAATCTCTCGTGGACTTTGGTCTCCGTGGACGTACCGTTTTACGTTCTGTTCGCGTGGCACTTGTATTGCGTGTTCACTATGTCGACATTCGTGCAGTACGTGAACTACGTGAGAATGGTGAGGGAAAGGTTTAAGTCAGTCAATAGGATTTTCAAAAACAGTAAGTCTGCACAGTGCCGCGCGCAGTGGGGGATGATGCCGGTATATGCTCCCCCATAGGGTTTTTTTTTCGGGAGTAACCGAATTGGTTCCCATTTAGCCGAATTGGTTCCCGTTTGAAAAAGGTATTTTATTAGGTATAGCCGAATTGGTTCCTGTTTAAAAAAGGCATTTTATTAGGTATATCTGAATTGGTTCCCGTTTGTGTACAGGTAAAATAAGATAAATTTTAATTTTTAAGATAATTTACTTACAATGTTGAAAATTAAAATCCAGCGGACTAGTGCATAAAGAGCAAGAAACAAATTTTAAAAACTATATTTATGACATAATAATAGTCACAATTATTATATCTATAAGATAGAGTAAAGAAATATAGAAGACTATAGATTACTAGAGACTAGCAAATTATTGTATTTATTATATTTTATTATTTGTATTTTGTATACCTAAGTGATGACTAGTTGACTTCCAAATCAATGATTTAAAATTGTATAAATTTTATTATTTTTTTTTTAACACACATTAACGCACATTATTAATCAAACCTACTTTTAAGTTGATAGTCCTAAGCCTATAAAATTAAGAAGGAAAATGTGCGTCATTAAACGGGAACCAATTTGGCTATACCTAATAATATACCTTTTTCAAACGGGAACCAATTTGGCTATACCTAATAAAATACCTTTTTCAAACGGGAACCAATTCGGCTATACCAAATAAAATAACTTTTTCAGGCGGGAATCATTCGGTACCAACCTTTTTTTCATATTCTTAAACGTTTAAAAATTGTATTTAAGAAATACGACGGGATAGTCACGGTTAAACGGATTGCGTTAATGAACATACATCGAGATATTCCATTATCTACAGAATAAATTATTGATGAATTTAGTGTAAAGCCAGAAGGATGAATTTCTGCCTTGATTGAATTTTTTTTTTTGTATAATAATAAAAAATAAAGATTGAAAATAATAAATTTATATGTATGACATCCCCCCCCATACCAAATTCATGCGCACAACAATAAGTCTGCATAATGCTGTTGTACTCATACACAATACGTATACGATATGTAAACATACCTAACACATACCTTACGTGTACGCGTTCGGACACGTATATATTAATTGAGCGTTAGCTATCAATGAAAAGTAGAGTCGGGCGAGTATTGATTTTTGATATCGAGTCAAGTTGAGTTTTAGTTGTTTCGAGTCCAGTTGAGTTCAACATTTGAGTACTCGAAAAATGTCGAGCATCCTAGCAAAAAGTCATTACTCTGAACAAATTTGAGTTGCTGAAAAATGTTGAACACTCGAAAAAAAAGTCATACATGATAATAAAATATTAAAGTAATAAAAATCTATTGTTATTAATTAATAGCATCAACCTTCAGGTTATTTTCTATTGAAAATATTTGGCTTCCAGTTATTTATAGTTTTAACATTTATTTTCGCTTTTAATTAAAAAAAATAGAAATAAATAAAATAAAAACGGTTATCTTACTATGAACTCATCAAATTAAATATGAGTTACTATTGCTGAAAGGGTTCCCTCTCATGCTAATCAAGCCATTTTATTACATTTTATTGTATCATATAATTTACTTATTATGTTTGTTTATATAGATTGTATATAAAGTTTATTTAATAAAAAAAAAAAAAAAAACATTTATTTTTCTATAAAGTAGTGAAATAAACTGAAGTACACGTTTTAACTTGAAACGAAATTACTCAACTTGAGTAAATTCGAGTACTCGAATTCGACTTGAAAAATTGTACAAAGTCAAGTACTTGTCCATTTAAGTTAAAAGAAACTGAATACGATTTTATGACACCAACATTTCAATAGGTATGCATATTTTTGTTGAGTGCCCACTAACCAACTACTTAGTAATTTTTATGTAATCGATGAAGAGTAGTGTAAATCGTTTAATTTATTTCAATGTTTTTTAAATAGTAAAAGAAAAAAAAATGCGAAAAATGGTTTTTATTCGACCACATAACTAATACAAAAAAAAGACTGTATAGTAAAGAAGTTATTTAATTTTAATCGTACTTAAGCCAAATATTTAATTCCATCACGTATTGACTGGATTAGATATTTTCTGCTCTAAAATGAAAACTATATTGTTGTTTTTCACAAACAAAATTGTATATATTAGGCCGCGTCATTGAAAATATTGGTTATATATAATTTGACTAATTATTTAATGAATATTTTATAAATATTTAAAATATTTACTTTTATTTATACACGTTAACAATAATTAATGAAAATTAAATACAGTTTGTTAAAAACATTACTTTAAATAATACCTAGTGTAAAAAGACCAATTACAAATTAACTTTTTTCGCTAGATTTGTTGCAAAGTTTAATCCTAAATCTTCTAAGTTTAATTCCTGATTCAACTTTGCTTCAATAAATAAAATTGATAAATCAATCAACCGTTCATTGAACATGATTGATTTTAAATTATTTTTTATAATTGATACCTTTGGGAAATATTTTCACTAAATGTCACTATTGTTGGAATCGTATGAAGATTCTCAAACTTATTATAATGTTAGAACTTTGAAGTTGATTGTAAATTTATTCATACAATTTTTTTTTCTTTTTTTTCTTTTTTTTAAGCATTATTTGATTCTGTTGATTGATAAAATAACTTTTTAAGTATGTCATCGATGGATGATAGTCGGAAAATAAATGATTAAATTAAAATGAGAAACAATGATTATAGTATTTGGTAAATTTATAAACGTTCCATTTCATAATCAATAAAAAACATCATGTTTTTGGTTATAACAATATTTTAATTTTATCGACTACGATGAACTTTAATTGGGGCTTCAAATTTTATATTATAATCATTTAAATTTATTACGATATTGTTATTGTGTACCTACCGTATACGTATCTCATAGTATGTATAAATTATAAAGTACGCCGTGATCAGTTACAAAACGCAACGTTAGTATTTTTTTTTTTTTAATAATCTGTACAAGCAACAACTTATAATGGTGTCAATGCAATAATTCCGATATCAATGGAATTCAATGATCGTACCAAGTATCATTGTCATTTGTTATTAACATTATTTACATTTTTTTCCGCTCCCAGTACACCCTAACGACAGGCTACGTTTTGATGAAAAAAATCCATAAATTTATCCATTTTATTTATACTATTTCGACACATAGCTTCTTGTAATATACCAGTCTATGTATATTACGCGAAAAAAAATCTATAATATTTATGCCCTTATCCCGAGCGCAGGTTTTATATTATTATTATTTTTACCCGAGTAAAGGTATAAATATACGTATATACATAGTTACCCAGTACAAATGTTATACGCAATATTTCCAGTTAATATTAATTTTATAACGTTGACGTTATGTTCTTGAATTACATATCGTTATTTTCGAATGGCAATAAAATAAACGATAAATAATAAAACGTACACGAAGTACGACCACTTTGAAAAAAAAAAAACAAAAACAATACTACTGAAATTGGACCATGAAATTAAACGTCAGACGATCAAAATCGTTTTGCCGAAAATAAGCAATGGCCTCAGATATAGACACTCGAAGGCACACACGTACTCGTACAACGCGTTGCTTAATTGAATTTTTCTGTACAATAACACTGCTGCTAACCCTGGCCGCTATATCGATGTGTTCGTTTTCCACCGAACGCCACCATCCCTAATTCTCTCTCCGAGGTCAGTTATTCGTTTTTCGAACGTCAGCCCGTAATTGAACGCGTAAAATTTCAGATGGAAATCATTATCGTAGACGAACGAAATATTTGTTTGTTTCCAGTAGCGGCTCGTGGTAAATATTCCGGAATGACTTGAATTTTTTAACATAAACTCAGTACACCACGAACAAGAAAAACCTTTTTATTGGAAAATTAATTATACTTAATTTATTATTTAGTTAATATTTTTAACTTAATTTAATGTTAAATTTTTTCATAAGCTAATTTAATTCTGCAATTTTTTTTATCACTGAATACCGTCGCTGTACACCGTACAGCGACTTACGACGGCGCGCAATGTCATTGCAAATTATTGTCGTGAACTCAGTTTCAATAGATTCTATAATACGCGGATTATTTTCCTCCGTCCAACAAGTCAAACCATTACATGTTACGATCGATCGGACGTTAGTTTCATTGAAACGGTGACAGTTGTCGAAATCAGGTTCGTAGTCAGGATTTTATTTCAGGGAGGGGGGTCAAGTAAAAAAAAAATAAAAAAATAAAATGTATGATCTAGTCAGATGATAAAGGACAATCATGATTATTATATAACAAATCTATCTTGACTTGGGTAGGTACCTATTAATTATTACTGTGTCATTTCTTATCAACATGGTTATCGTGGAGTTAAGTTTATACGAAGGTCTATCGTTTATGTATATATATATATATATATATATATATATATGCTAACCGTATCATTTTAAAAACACTAGCATTTTTGTCCCACTCAGATTCTAAAAAAAATTTCGTCGATGACATTTCGGAGGGTTTCGGATCCCATGGACCCCCCACTGGCTACATCCCTGGTCGAAATTACTAAAACAGTGGTAATGTAATATTTTGTGGCCTTAAATTTATAATAATAAATGTAGAAAACGATATAACTAACGAGTATCTACATTACTATATAAAATGAAGTCGCTTTTTTTTGTTCGGCATAAACTCTGAAACTACTTATCGGATCGTCGTGCAGTTTTTCTTAAATTAAAGAGGAAATCACAGAGAAGGTTTTAGGCGTAAATTTAGTCAGATAAAGTTAATAAATAATTAGATATTAGTTATATATATATATGGAGCCAAAAATGTATAACATTTCATCAATTGAGAACGGCTGGGCCGATTTAGCTCAAATTTTTTTTAATTGTTTGTAATTGCCAAGAGAAGGTTTTTACGAACATTTTTTTTGAAAAAGTGCTATTGTTTAATAAATCATAGTTTAATTTAATAATTTTTGACCCGGTCGATAACTGCACAATTGAAAATGAATTATTAAATGAACTATTAAAAAACTATAAAAAAAACTATTTAAAAACTATTAATTTAATTTTTGGTATTAAATGACGGGTATTGCATAAGTATTAAACAAAAAAAGATCCCGCAACAGATTTCAAAACAAATAAGAATGTTAGTTCGAAAAATTATTATGTATATCGGTTGATGATTAAACGCGATCAGGACAAAATTATTCTACGATATCATGAGCTTCGTCAACAATTCATGGTCGAAATATATGTAAAGATAGAAAGCGAACGCTTTTGCTACTTGCGATTTAATCAAAAAAAGCTGCGTGCAGAAGATTCTCAAAACAATTGTTAGATATTGGAGATGGGAAAGTTACTACAGATGAAACGGAATGTATAAAATTACCGACCGATTTCTGCACAATCATTTATTCGCAAGATGCTCTCATTGACTAGATATTTTCCAATGTACACAGACAATACACAAATCATGTGTGGCTGGCAGAAAGGGCAATTTTAGTAGTAAAAAATGTGGACGTCAACGAGTTGAATCTCAAGATAAACATTTATTACCAGGAGACATGGTGTCATACAAATCTATAGATATAGTTTGCTATGCTACTGAAGCTGTAAATTATCTAACAGAGTTTTTAAACTCATTGGACTTACCAGGCATGCCACCGCATAATTTACAATTGAAGGTTTGTTCTCCGGTTATTTTGCTTCATAATTTGACCTACCACGGTTGTACAACGGCACGCGATAAGTTGTTAAAAAATCAATGAAAAATGTTATCGAAGCCATAATTTTAAATGGAAAATTCTGAGGTGAAAATATATTATTACCGCGAATCTCTATTATACCCACAGATGTGCCAATACAATTTAAACGCCTTAAATTTCCAATTAGATTGGCATTTGCAATGACTATCAATAAGTTTCAAAGCCAAACAATATCTGTAGCTTAGATTTAAGCACATCATATTTTTCTCACGGATAATTATACGTGATGTGCTCTCGAGCCATCCAGTTTGTGTTGGCGAAAGATGGGATAACAAAAAATATTATACATGAATTAAGAGATAGATATTGTTTTTTACTAATATTGTCATAATTAGCGATGTATATAATTTTAATGGATCAATTTTAATAAATTATTAAAAAAATAAATGTTTGATGTTTTTTCATTTTTATATTTCGTCACCATTCATAGCACTCCATATCTCTTCCTTACATCCTTATCCTTACCCACATTTTTACATGCCTATATTTAATTAGTTATTTTTTTCTAGCAAAATATTCTCTAGAAATAATTTATATGACAAAACAACGTTTGTCGGGTCAGCTAGTTTTCAATAAAAACAAAAATATTTCTATACACTTTTAAATAGGTATTATTTACAAGTAGCTCTTTTTTTTTTTTTTTTTCATGGGAGACGCAGTCTCAAAGTCTCCCCTAACGAGCCGCCCCTGTTTATTTCCGAACGTCCCATGGGTGGTCGGGTCACCGTCGGTTTCCCGTCGCGGTGACATACTATAAATAACGCGTTAATCGCACACAGGTGTCGCGGAGAACTTCTCGCTCGGCACCGAGCGCATGTATCCCAAAGAACTAGTCAACTTGTTCGTCCAACTCCGCGGCCTGACGAACGAGGTGAAAATCTATTACACATACCACGCGATGCTCGTCATCGTCGAATCGGTACTGATACTCATCACGAACGTGACCGCTCTGACGGTCGGCTACATCAACGGCATGCAGGTCGACAATGTCCATTTGATCGGGCACACCTCGATGAGGTTGTTGTTTTTGTTTTACGTGGTCCGGGAAACGCACAACACCAAACTGGAAGTGAGTATTGTCGTGCACAATCAGGGGCTGGTTTTATCACTCACCAAGGGAGGGGCCAATGGAGGTTCAAGAATTTAGTTTTCAAGTTTTTTAAATCTATATAAAATTTTAAATTACAGAATATGATTTCGAGTCCACTATAAGCAAGTCATTTTTTTTTCACAATAGTGACAAATTTTAAATAGTTACATTATTGGTATCAGTTTTAAGCTGAAACCATTTTAAAAATATAGGTATACACATACGATTAACAACAAAAATTAGCCATTTATTTTTGACAAAATATATAAAATACGTACCATATTCATCAATGACGATTTTATAATAATTATTAATATATCAATAGGTATATTATAATACTTGGCTTTGTAAAATAGTTAGCTTAGTCCCAAGGAGAGGGCTAATGCCCCCTTAGCCACCCCCTTAAACCCGCCACTGTGCACAACTGTGCCTGTTTTTACGGTTGGCACGTGTTATCGTGCGCCGACGCACGTTGTCATGCAATAACGCACAACTGTTGTCGTGTGGGGTAGAACATGATTGCGTACGATTTTACTTAATTTTTAACTACACGATTGCATAAGAAGTTTTAAACGTTAATGCCAATTTTCATACCGGTATCGGTGTATACCACATGCCTATAGGAGAGAACTTAAAAAAGTTAGTAAATACTTTGTGTCTTATTGCTTGTATTACCTATGTTAATTGTTAATGATATATAATATATCAGATATAACGAAATTTCGTTGTTTCCGTTATTTAATACGGTATTATCCGAGTTTTAGTAAAATTATTAGGTTATAGATGTTAAGGAATCCAAATTTAAGCATTTTCAAATAATTTATTAACAATAATTTCATTCAAATAGAAACTGTAGATTTAATTTAATTAGTAATTACTTTTCTTTTATTTAGTTATCCTCATTTCATTTATTATTTTATTATTAATTTTTTTTATAAACTATTATAGAACTGTTAATATACGGTGAAATTAGTAAATTTCACAATGTTGCATACAATTTCATACGCAAGTGTAATTATTAATTTTTCTTACCCACCTTTATGTTACCCATCTACAAGCATACACAATCATGTTGCCAAAAAGGACAAACGTACGCAATCGTGTTCTACCCGTCGCGCGTTCCAAACTTTGTTGGTGTATTTGATTCACCCGTCGTACTGTGTCGACAGTGTGCCTGGGGTTTTCGAAAACGTAGGAGTGGTCGTATGCGAGACGAATCAAAATGAATTACGAATATTCGTATTACGTTAATGCAGTTATTTATTTTGCTCTTACGTTTTGAAAAATAACGTTTTTGCGAGTGTAGAAAAACAATAAATGGAAAAACGCACCCTATCTTCGATACGCCCGCAGTGTGTTATAAGTATTTTGTAATAACATTTAATTTTCTTCAAAATACCGTATCCACACTAATCCCGAACGGCTTATTGTAAAATTGAATGTCAATCATAAATATATGTATTACCTACCTTCGTTTGTTTTTCGAATTACAAATTATCGTAAGTAACTAAATTTAATTTTGTATTTTTTTTTTTTTTTACAACCGCAGGCGAATAATACTGCTTTGATTGGTCACGAGGCACTGATTACTACGTCAGATATCACTACTACAAAATATGTAAATATTTTTTCTCTCAGCATTTTTACATTTTTACATTTTAATATTTAAATTGTTGTTTGATGATGTTCGTAGTTGGAAGTTATAGTGTTAAACTGCTGGAACCATCCAATTGTATTTGATGTAAAAGACTTCTTTGATTTGGACTATAAACTCCTTCAGTCGGTAAGGAATTAGCAAAAAAAAACATGTAACAATTATTTCATGGTCATCCCAAGAAACGATAATGTATGAAATATTATTACTGTTCTGTATGAAACTTGTAAATAACAATGCATAACAAATTATGATTCTAGGGGAAGAAGGGTAGTAATCCATTTTGTCAATTGTTTTCCATGTATTTTTTTTATAAGACAGATGATTAAAATTATTAATTCTTAGTTTTAAGATTATTAGTTTTTATAAGAATATGAATCCTTAATGTGCATTTTTTTCAAATGTTAGATGGGTAGGATTTCGGAAAGTTTGTTTTGACCATGATGAAAAATTATTATTAATGTACTGCTACCCTTTTTCAGTACAACCTTCAAATATTAGACGCAATTTGTCCATTATAATTGTATATAGTATTATACTCGTACACCTGTGGTTATTGTCCATGAGCCGATAATAGTTACCATTTTGATTTAAAATTTTAAAGTCTTAAAGTTCTAGAGCCAATATAATAGAACAATTATTTTTTTGGGTCTATTATATTTGTGTGGTTTAATAACATCAAAAACTATCGTAGACACAAATATCAAGATCATAAAATAATTATTTATTGACGTTCAAATCACATCAAATTAATTAATCAATACCAAAATAATAAATTGTATATTAAGTTAGTAAATCTAACGATTTTTATGAACTATTACGAAATTAATATTGTAATAAATTTTAATAACTGATTAATAACTGAGGCGGATTGGCCTATCGGGAAATCGGGAATCTTCCCGATAGGCCGGTCCTTGTTTGGGCCGCTCTATATTAGTATATAATTACCAAAAAAAAGTTTTATTTTATAAAATAAATAATAATTTATTGTATTGTAATTTACGTAAGGTGTAGAAATTCGCTTGAAGTTTATAAATTGTACAACAATTTACAAACCCTGGGTCATAGTAAATTATATAATATTTAAATGTTTGAAAAATTTCGCCATAAATTGTATCTTCTTTTTTTTTATTTATTTTTTTTTATAATGAATAACGATATAACAAGCGTCTAATCATATCATAAATTATAAAGATAATTAATTAATTTTTTGAACCAAGGCTAAACGTATTCTGAAAAATAAAAAACTATTTCTTGAATAATAATTTTAAAAAATTCAGAACAAAATATTTTAAACTTCAGGCAATAACGATGCCATTTTGTTCCGTCGCCTTTAATACTTTTCCTATAATAGTGTATATATAACAGCACGACAACAATTTATATTTATTGCCATCGATATTCAATATCAATATTTTATTGTGCAAATTAATTTTGTATTTAATTAAATCTTGAATTTTTCAATTTTTAATTTTTTAATTTTTTAAAAGTATATTTATCAAAATTGTATAGGCATTTTAAGAACAATGAACTCTAGTTTGAAGATTTAGACTACGTACGCATAAAACACAGTTATTGACTAGTAATTATTTATCTCGAATTATTATAATTATTGTGTTTCTAGATAATCGCATCCGTTGTAACCTATGTGGTCGTTTTGGTTCAAATACAATTGGCGGTTAATGAAATATAACCATTGAATATATGAAGTTTGTGATTTTATTGTGATATTTTAATTTTTTTAAATTTATCAACAATAATAATGCAGTGCAATTTATGAACGATGTAAGTAAAGTATGAAACGGTTTTAGATTATTTTAGTTCGTAAAGTTTGATTTTATTTAGATCCCGACTAATCGAATAACTATATTTATATAACAGCAATGGTTATATAGTAGAAAAATGTAGTTATATTAAACGTATACATATTTTGCCAGTTTAGTTCCGACAGTAGGTACTTATATACATAATATCATATCAGCCCACGTACAAACATATGTTGGTCTAATTTGGATTTGAAATCAAATTGTAATGTTTGAATAATATATACTGGCAGTTATACATTATGTACAATTCTTTGGAATAATACAAAAGACTGTTGAAAATTAGTATTCAGAGTTTTTATATTTACTGTCGTATTATTTATTTCACAGCGCAAAAAACATGACGTTCGTCGCCCTTTTATGTTATATTAACAATGATGTCAGACTAATCGTCATACGCATACCTGTCTCAAAATTCAATCATCGAAAATATTGTTCCACGGGATCGAAAAAGACTATTTCAATCACAGCACAAAATTCTATGTAGCTTTTATTTTGTTGTGTAGATAAAATACAAAAAATTTAAAAATCTTTTTATTTTCATCCTATTCATAATAATCGTATCAGCATAATTTTAAAATATTTGATTTTATAAACATACAATTAGGGCTACAGTAATTGTGAATTTGTTAAACAAACATAATTATCATCGATCAAATGTCTTGTTGCTTCTTATAAGCTTATAAATGTATACCTTGACGTGGTTTTATTCTAGGTTTTTAAATTTTATTATCAATTTTGGAGTTGAACGCTCCATCGGGCTTGTTGAGTTTTTTTCGAGGAAGTTTTTAATTTTATTTACTGTCCACGTTGACGATGATGGAAAATCAAAACTTGGTTATACTAATGCAGTGTATTATATTGTGTTATAAAATTATAATACGAGTACATCATAAATAGAAACATTACATCCAAACGATTCGTTGCGGTTAGAGTTAACTGTTTAAGCAGTGCACTTAAACGAATAAATCTGTTACGATAATAAAATATATTTGTAAACTTATTTGAAAACAATACTTTAAAAGCTTTCAACAAAATCAACTATTGTTGAATACTTAATTATTACAGGACCAATGCACTGTGAATTACAGTGCACAATATACACATACGTATGCGTGGGCACAGTAACTTATTATTATATTAAATTACATATGAAAAATGTTATTATTAAATATAACATCATAAAATTATGATGCAATAATTTGTTTTCAAATTAAAAGAATAAGCTGCGAGTTACGGAGAATGGATATTTGTCTCGTTTCCCTTGTACCTGGGAAAGACATCTACGTCTCTTTTATAAATGTAAACATTACACGGGGTACATTAGAATTCGGTAAACGATACTGAACCTAGTTTGACTAACCACATAGATGGATGTAAATGAGTGTATTTGGATTTTAAGTGTTTGTAATTTGAATACTCCATACAAAAGTTTCAGTTCACAGTTTATTAAAACGAAATATTTTACAATACTTAAGTAGTTATTAACATCAACATTAATACGTCAATACAACATACTCCTTGCTGCATTTTAGTTCTTCAAATATAAATTTGCATAATCTGATGTTATCGTTTATCCGGAAATTTATATATTTTCAGACGAATTTCACATCGTCATTGATCACTATGTTCGATCAATGACATTTTTCAATTAATTAGCAAAGTGTACAGCAGTGTTACCCAATCTTTATGCTGAGGCGACCCATGAATGTTCTTTTTATTGAATAGACGACCATCGAAAAAAAGCCTAGTAAGTTTTGATGTAATAACATTACTAATAATTTTATTTTAAGGATTTTAATCTTATAATTTAACGCAGTACTGCCACACTTAATTCTGATAAATGTAATTATATTTTGATAGTTAAAATATTTTTCTTGCCATTGGTATACGAACAGTTATTAAATTATTTTGTGACCTAATGTTAGGCCGTGACCCTTAGGTCGGGAAACACTGGTGTACAGAATAGTATATAGTTTGCCATCCGGTCCATACACAGGAATCGTTTAAGATGGTGTGTGAAGGGGTTCAAGATTATGTACATCAAGTTAGGTTATTAAGTCGATAAAAAAATACATGTTGGAATATCCATGATCAAAAATATCATGATCGAAAATCGATACATGTCAACAAATGTTTGAATAGTGACTATTCGGTGAAAATTTGTTCTAATCAACTGCTGCATTTACAATGATAATCGACAGCACGTGGAAATATTCAAAAGATAAGTGCGTCAAATCAAAAAAACTGGCTTTGTTAAAACAAAATTAGACAACTATGTATAAACAATCAAGTCAGTTCATTTTTTATAGAATGAGGCCTACATTTTTAATAAAAATTATATGTAAAAAGATCTTCAATGTGATGTATAATTCCTCCCCTCTTGTTTACGATAAGACAACTGTGACGATGCCTCCGGTGAATCATATTGTTCGCGTTTTTATTATTTTTATCGTTCGGATCGCTTCGGCTAATTGATTACTCCGACGGCAGGTACAGTGTTTTGTGTATGATATTCAGCAGTATTATTCGACACATATATTATCCTTCGCAAGCAAACGACCTCAAGCGATAGAAGCAATATGACGGAACTGGTTTTTCAATAATTTCATTACCGGGCCGTGTTTTAAAAATCAATAATCAACAGCACCCGGGTCGTTTTATCACTTTAACGAGGCTGATCGCTCGCCGAAAAGGTAACAAGAATAAAAAAAAAAAACAAGTGTAATCACAGCGAAAAAGGCGTTACGGTCATCAGTGTGCGACAAGAGAAAAGTGTACCTAAACGATGATCGTCGTAATCGAATCGTCGACGTCCGAAAGAGCTGCACGTGACCGCGGTCTAACCGCACACTGCAGCTGCCTCGGTCGTAAACACGCGGTAGGCAAGCGCTCGTCTCACTGCAACAGTTGTTACGGACGGAGATTTATCGTTTTTACGGTTTCCTCTCCTTCTCTCTCCTGTTCATCCACCGATCGGTACTTGACGACGTCGGGCAATAACAAAAACAACACGATAGCGCACGCATCGGAGAACGTGCGCGCACCTGCCGCCACCGCTCGCGCGTGTTTAGAACGCCTCCAATTTTTACCCGTCACCACCGCCGCTGCCGCCGACCGCGTACCGATAATCGGCCGACAATCGTATTTCAACGTTGTATTATTGTTGCGACGGACATCGGCGGCACAGTGGATTTAGTTTTCCGGTCCGTCGGTCGTGCGGACGGGTGTTGGACTGTATCGTGCGCACGTGCGTTAGGCTACTGTCGCAACAGCGGCATCGGCATCGGTCGTCCGATAACTTTCGTCAGACGCCGACTGATAAAATCGCCTCCGATAGTTGTTCATTTGCACAATGCGATGACCGCGCAAATCATAATTCATAAAACCGTCGTCGCTTCATTATAGTCCAGTTGTTAAATATTTGTCAACGAAAAAGCGAAAGTTTCACACGAACGTCTTCATTTTGTGTTTTACCCGCAAGAGTATGGAGAATCCCATGCTCGTAACGGGATGAAGATTTTTTCAATCACGCGAAAATGATTAAATCAAATTTTTATCTGTTTATTGGAAAATATTAGAGAAAAAAATCCAAAATTGGTCTGAAGGTGATCCGATTACGTCGATCGATTCGGCCGGTTAAAACGGACGAAATTGGATGTCGTCCGGTGAACATCGATGCCATGACCGTGACCGTAGCCTTAGCCGAGCGCGCGTCGCACGCATTGGCAGATATCTAGGGTGGCTTGGGGGAGACTTAGCCCTCCTGATAACAACTAAGACCCCTCAAAAATTTTTGTCAAATTTTAAGAAATATTTTTTCCAAATATACATCGTACATTTCAAATATTGAGAAAATGTTTCTTATAATATTATATATATTCAGGACCGTATTAGCCCATAGGCACTATAGGCACTGTACCAAGGGTCTACGAATATTTTTAGGCATACGAAAATGTGTGGCTACGATTTTTTTGTAGTATGCAAATTGGTACAAAAAATTTTTTTTTGGTTTTTAACAATTTATATTATACATGTTTTGGATTAAAATTAATTTTTTTAACATTTGCTAAAATTATTATCATATAAGAGTTTAGATGTTGTAAATATTATTGTTTTTAAAAGTTTAACATTACATGAGATTCAACACTTCCTCTTCCAAAGAGAAGGTTTCTTAACCATTTAAATACTGGACTACGACCCTGCAATGATTAGGGGCCTAGGGCCTATGATAGTGTTAATTCGGACCTGTATATATTATATACCTATACAACAGCAATTTACATAGTATTTATACAAAATGCCACAAGTAGCACTCACTTTGGCTGTTAGCTATGCAACGCGTGAGCGTAATTTTTTCAGCTATGCGTAAAATTAAGTCATGGGTGAGAACTTCTATGCTCCAAGATCAATTTATTAATCTATCTGTTATTTACATTGAAAAAGACCTGACAAAAAGTACTGAAAGTGAAGATACTTTAAATGAATTCTCAAAATCCTCCAGAATACTGGTTCTAAAATAAAATATCCATTACTGTTATTACCTATTATTATTCATGTGTTAATTGTCTTTTATGCGTTGCATAATTTTGTAGTATCAATAAAAAAATAGATTTTTTTTTTTTTTTGAAGGAAATAAAATTTGAATATAATATTTATAATTGGTAAATAATTGAACTCTTAAGGTGGCGTGAGGACGAAGCCCCCTGCTTTTTAGATATATGTAAATAATTTGTACCCCCCCCCCCCGAAATTTTCAATGGATATCCGCTTATGATCGCACGTACTCGGAAATCGTGTCGGATCGTGGGTGCGCCTGGTCCGAGTGATTCAGCGCCACCCGGACGCTTTGACTTTCCCGAAACGTCAAACTTACCCGTTTGTACGCGCACCGCGTCCTACCACAACGACCCGTACGTGCGTGCGCTTGCGCGGCCACCGGAACATGTGATTTGCACCTGTCGGCACCTCGTGCACGCACACCGTAACGCGCGTACTTCGCCGGAGACTTTACGGTGGAGACGAATCGGAATAAAACGAAAAATAATAATAATAATATTAATAACGAAAATCCAAGATGGAACGGCTGAAACGTGCTCGGAGAGGGATCGCGTCCTGCGTTTACTATACTCGTACGTATACCCATAAACCGTACTTGTTAGTCGGCGACCGATGTTTGTAAACCGCATTGTCGCGCGTGATACAAATACGAGTGCGTACGCAACGTACAATCCCATCAACCCTATGACGTCCGCTACCCTTACAGGTCTCTGGTGCAGGTGCAGGTATCGGCGCGAACGAATCGGAAACCGATCTGTAATCGATCGTTTTCGGTTCGGTGCGTGCGCGCCGGGGTCGTTTCTATCGCGTCGTACGTCGGTCACCGCCGTCCACTGTTACATTGCACGTATATCATTATAATTATTATTACTAGGCGATTATTGTTGAGATGAGAAAGAAAGGG